AAAAAAAAAAAAAAAAAAAAAAAAAAAAAAAAGAAAAAAAATTAAAAGAAAGTTATGTAATATACATAATAGATCTTATATCTCGTTTCTGAAATGTTTCGTTTCCCGATCGTTTCTTTTTTTTTCTCTCTCTTTTAATACCGTGTGCAAGTGCGTGGACCTCTGTGAAATTCCTTTCTCATTTCTGAACCGTTCTTTCGAGGATTTCTAATTTTATGTATACAGTTTCTTCGTGCTACTTGTGATCCAAACGCTACTGTGTAATGAAGCAGACGCGACTACGTAGCAGAGTCAGTGACAGGAAGATTAAGCATCTAATCTAGCGTATCTACGTAGTTCTAATTTGTCTAATCGAGGCTTGATATTGTTATGTCATAAAATTTCATTATAATTCTAATAAAACATTGTTCTTACAAATCTCGAATCCTTTTGATCGTTTTTTTGACTTCTTTAACACGTTCAGGATGACAATAAAATCATAATAAATTCAGTATTCAATTTTGCGTATCCATGGTACTTTAGTTATAATGGACGATACTTTTTTTTTTTTATATATATATCCCCGTATAACTATCGTATCCCATCATCCTAAACGTATTAAAAAAATCCAACAATTCGATGGATCCCTTCTTGTGTACAAATCAATAAACGTGAAAAATCGACAAAACACACGCCTATGAATCGGAACCGAAACCGAACCCAGATAGTCGATGCACACAATTGAATCGATAACTCGATTTCAAACCGAGATTCGAATCGGAAACAGCGACGAGAACAAGAGAGAAAGAGAGAATATACACAAAACGTAGAGCGTCAACGGATCCGCAGACGGATCCGTGACGGAAATCCCCTTCACCTGATTTACCTCCCAAAAAAAAACGAATACAAAGTGGAGGGGGGAAGAAAAAGAAATATTTAAAGAGTCCAAAAAATGTACGCATGCTATTTCGTGGAAAAGCAAAAATATCTGGTGAAATTTGGAGGGAAAGAATAAGAAAAATCGTGATGATAAGGTAACAAATAACGTCGAGACATGAAGGAGAACTGGAGAAAAAAAGAGAAAGAAGAAAGAATTGCAACCAGGTAGAGAACAAACCAACGTGTTCCGTATTCGTGAAGAATCGACATGACTTCACGGAACGGAACAAGGAGAAGTGAATATGGAACTTTGTTCGAACGAAACCAAAAGCTTCTCAACCAGAACTACCAGAGAGAAAAATATATAGGCAACATATGAAATATATTATATAATATATATATAAAAAAAACTGTGTATATATATATAATATATAGGTAATAAATATATGTATATATAAATATATGTATAATTATAAACCACCACCATAATTTGTACAAGAAAATATAGACGAGAGACAAAGTAATAGAAATTTGAAGATTGTTAAAAAAAAAAAGTAGTAATAATAAAAAATTTTTCGAAGCGACCAGAAGAAAGAACGTGAAGAATTGTGAAAGAAATGAAGAGAAAAAGAGAAATAGGAAGAGAGCGCATGCAGGAGCCAAGCAAATATACTCGCCTTATGTATTTATGCACATATTATGTGATGTAATAATAATAAAATTGATAATAATAATGGTATAATATTGGTATCGCATTAAGCTGTAATGATGAAAAAAAAAAAAAGAAAAAAAAAAAAGAAAAAAAAAGAATAAAATGTGTTTTTATCGATTAGAACGTGTTATGTAGCCTGTTCAAATTACAGAGAGAAGGAGAAAGTGTTTTAACAGCTGTGACAATGGTCGGTATTAAATATATGATAATTCGTGATAATAATTGTAATCAGAAATATAATGGCAACGGTAATAATAATACGAGCGATAATTATAAACAGAGCGTGTGATTAATCGTGTTGATAATACTACATGTTTCACGCGACAGCCTTTTCTAGGCTTTTTAAACATAGAGAGGGGTGAACAACGAGATTTAAAAAAAAGAAAAAAAAAAAAAAGGAAAAATTGAGAAAGAACGAAATTATTGAAAAAAAAAAAAAAAAGGAAAGAGAGAGAGAGAAAGAGAGAGAAAAAGAAAGCTTAATTTGCACGAGCAGTTATACTTGATAATCGTGTAGAACACGTAAAAATTTGAAAAAAATATAGCATGCTATGATAATCATGTAGCTAGCTGTTATTCTTGTATATAGTGACAGGAGAAGCTAGGCAACAGGATAGCATTGCGACAGTCGGTATTTCTTGAATTTATCGTCATAGTTTCGCAGATATTATTATACATTCACGTCTAATTAAAAGAAGAAGAAAAAAAAAAGGGGGGGTTTCTTGTGTTTGCTACGCATACTGTGTTAATTATTCGTCAAACAACATCGAAAGTTTCTTCGATTCTTTTCATAATATACGTGGAAAGAATCGAGAGAGAAAGTTCGACGATTCGAGGCATTTCGTGGCATTTAAACCGAATTGAGTATCGTTTTGAAAACACAAATGTCGGATTGTAAAGTTTAATTCGAAAAGTTTGATATTCGACATATCGACCTGTCAATCCAATCGATGTAAATGCAAATCGAACGATCGTTTAAATATTTAAAAATTTGT